CCCGCGTGGCACACCCTGGACGGCCCGTCGCAAGATGACGACAGGGGGGGCATCGGGACCGGATACCCCCCTCGCCGGCCTCTGGGGTTCCGAGGCCCCTGAGGCGGTAAGTTACATCCAAAAGTCGTCATCTTTTTTCCATAGTTTGTGATTTGTTGACGGAGTTGTCTTCTCCGGGTTTTTTATCGTGGTTTTCCTTCCACTAGATCGACTGCCCCCCCAGGGCTAACGAGCTAGAGTGGTGTGCCCGAAGGCCCATCACGAAGGTTTAACGACAACCTACAACCCTGAAACGGCGACCCGAAGGTCGCCCCATCACAAGGGGGTAATTTCAATCATGGGCACCACCCTTTAGGAATCCCAGGTTTATTCAAGGAGTATCCTTCTCCTGGACGTTTATTTAACCCTTCTCCGGGTCGTTACTCCGAGTCGTCGGGCGCCATTGGCTTGATAGCTACCTTCGCTACATGTACCAGGTCGTCCATTCCCAGAAGCAACTTGTTAGGGGAGCCGCCCTCACCTCCCAGACGATCTTTGTTAAGCCTGGATCCTGGCCAGCTGGTTTTTCCCATTTTTGAGGTTTTTCATCAGGAGGTATCCTCAAACCCCCGGTTGATTAACGAGGCGATCCTACCTCGGGCGATCTTGTTAAGCCTGGTCCCGGCCAGCTGGGTATTTCCATCGAGACTTTTCATCAGGAGGTGTTCTCATACCCCCGGTTGTTTAACGAGGTTTTCCTTCCTCTGGACGATCTTTGTTTAGCCTGGATCCCGGCCAGCTGGTTATTTCCATTTGAGACTTTTCATCAGGAGGTATCTCAAACCCCCGGTTGTTTAACAAGGTTTTTCCTTCCTCGGCTTTTTAGGGCATGCAGGCTGGCGGAGGAGAAAAGGGAGAGGGTAAGAAGGGAGGTGGAAAAGGAAAGGAAAGGAGACAGTCTACAGAGACCCATTTTTGAGGTTTTCCCCCTCAGTTTTTTTTCCAGAGTTGTACTTCTCTGGCCAAATTTTAGGTCATAAGGTGAAGTGCAAGCCTCAGAGCCTTTTTTGGGTATGGCGCCCCAAGTTTTTTTAACGAAGTTAAACTTCTTCGGATGTGCTCTTAGATCCCGCATCTCCACGAATGGATAGCGGGGAGCCCTGGCACCACGTCAAGGTGGCACACCGTCGCCAAGAAACCTTTTTTTTTTTTTTTTCGCAAGGGGAGAAAAATTTTCAGAAAGACCCCCTGCAGCCCGTACTGTGGGGGAGTGCGGGATTCCCTCGCGGTGTTAATCCTGACCGAAAGTCAGGACACCGCGAGGACCTACCCGCTAAAAAACTCCCCTTTTTTTTTTTTTGTCTGGAGGGCAAGCCCTCCCGGGGTGGGATCTTCCAAAGACACCCTCTGGCGTGCATGGACATCCCTGCCAGAGGGTAGTGTTGGATTCGTCC